ATATCCCCAAACTTTAAGGATAGCATTGCATAACCTTCACACAGAAGTCCTACCCAGCTATATCTGCACCTTTTCAAGGTGTCACCTTTGCTCATGTTTTCCTTAAATCATCTGTTCTTAAGTAGGAGAACTTTATTTTTTACCTTTGTTTATTAATGAATAATAATAAAAGATGGAAAAAAAATGTTTGGATAGATCATGCGAAGAGTCAATATATATTTAGAATATTTCTAGATATGTATTTACTATACATATTCAGTTAGTAATTTTCTCAGCTTTCTTGGAAGACCTATTTTAAATCAATTACTGTCTTTAAAGAAGATGAATAAATGACCTAATCTAGGTATCTGGTGTTTCTTAAAAGCAAAGTACTTTCTCTTTTAAATAACATCTCATTATAGTATTATGGCTAAGAAGTGAAACTGGGAAATTGATGTTTGTGAATTTGGGAGTCTGAAGAACTTTGCACAGGAAGATTACATTGTCACACATTTACAATTTGGGACCAGTATGTGTGAAATTCAAACAAGTTGATAAAAAAAATCACAATTCCCATTGAGCAACAAGTTCTCAGTAAGGCCAATATTTCATTCTAAGAGAGGCTTTTCAAGTTTGTGAGGTCTGTCAAGGTGATTACACTGTTAGATGTACTGATAGCAGCTGCAATAACAAAATTACTGTTATGTATTTGAAAAAACAAGAACTAAGAGTGAACCCAGTACAAACAGACTCAGTGGCAAACAAAGAAGTAATCCTTCATACAATGTATAAAGTGCTGGTCATACAAACATGTTCAAATAAATGTTTTTCTATAATCATACAACGGCAAATGGCATCTTAATTGATTTTGCCATTTTTGCTATTGTTGCTTTCAAGGAAGAACATCTTTATCAGCAAGCTCTGCTAACAGTGTTCTAAAGGAAATCTACTGGTTTCACCAGTATTTAAGAGAACTACTTTTATTAGTAGCATTTTTTACTATTAAATGAAATGTAGCTGGCCAAGGAGGACTTCTGGAATACTTAAGATCTCTTTGTCACAATATGTGGCTTACAGAGAGGATGAGAGCTGTCTTCTGCCTCAGAACTGGGCAGCAGAGGCAAAAAAAACAAACAACAGACATTGCTGGAGTTATTTGGGGCTGTAGATTTAGACCTGAACAGAGCCAGTGATCCCTAAACTCCCTGCTGTTTCACAGGGTTGCTTTTTTAGGGTAAATTGTTTCTTGTGCTCCTTGTGAATCTCCTTGCACAAAGCATGTGTGCTTTCAGTTTGCATTGGGAGGATCCAAACCCTCCCATGCTGAATGCTTAACAGAATACTTCTTGTCTTCAGAGGCTTTGTGTTTTTCCCTTCCCTCTGTCCCTTTTGCCTTCTCCCTGCCAAAAGAAAATCACTAAAAGAGTATATGTAATGGTTTTCACTTCAAAAAAGTAATTGGATTCTCACAAAACTTCTTTCCCTTTCTCCACCATTTCTTGTGACGTGATGTGTGGCCATCTCTTGTCTGTTTCTCATTTTTCACTTTTTGAGATCCTAACTCTGCTCTGCATAACTTTTGTAGACCTAAACCCACATGGTTTTGATTTGGCAGAGGATGGCAGATTGCTCCATGGTAAAAAGGATGTGGATGCTTGTTTTTGGATTTTGTTTGGTGCTTTTTATGTAAAATTCTGGTTGTTTCCATATTTGATTTGGTTGTAAACTAAAAAGTATGCTACATGTTTTAAGTTGATCCTTGAGATGGAGCTGGCCTGATGGGACTTCCATACCCATAATGGATTCAGGTGAAGTAGACTTCTGGGTATTTTTCAAACAACCTCTTACTGCAAAGCATTAATCAGTTTGGGAGAAAACTGAGACTTGTGGGTCCAATTCAATTTACATTGAGACCTCTTCTACTCACAGCACATAAGAGCTGAATAGTGTCCGCAAATAGCTGTATCAGTTTTAAGGCTCCTTTACATTATTAGAGTTACAAAGATGACTAATAAGTATTCAGTGCTGGCAAACTGCAATTAAGATTGAGTAGGAATCTTTAAATTACTTGTTTTTCTGTTGCTTATGTCTATGAAATGAATGTTAATTACCCCCATCTCCTGCAGATGCTTTCATATCAGTCCCTATGCTGACCTTCTAGAGAGAATTTAGGCAAAGTGCAGCCATTTTCATGTTATACAAAGCATAAAGAAAAAGGCTTTTTGTCTTTTGGATTACCTGGTAGAACAGTTGACTCTGAAAAGCCCAAATATAATTTGCTTCACAGCTCTAATTTGTAAAGGAAAACCAAAGAATAAAGGAAAGCAAACTAAACTTTCCAACTTTAGAATATACTGAAGGAATCCTGTCCCTTTATTCTATACCATATATTATATATAAGCTCTATATTTTACCAGCTGTCAAATTAAGGATTCCCCCTCAGACTCAGATTACCTTGAGGTACACATTGTACTTCATCATCCTCCATCATCACACACTAGGTATGTCCAGGTCCCTGAGCAAAAGCAACACCCCAGACAGATTTATCTTTGCCTGAAGCAGGATAGACCCAAACACTTTTACCCAGTAGGTTTCTTTCACATATCACAGGGACTTCATCCCCATCTGCAGTATGTAAAAGGACTGACTGAGCAGGAGAAGCCCAACTGATGGATCCCCTGGTATTAACTAACCATGTGGCCTTTGCCAAATTTTTGTCCCAGTTTTTGGAAGCTACACCACCCATTGCCCTCAGGGTGGCTTTCAACAGACCACTGTACCTTTCAACTTTCCCTGAGGCTTGTACATAGTACAGGATATGGTACATCCCATAGCTGTTTTTTTGTTAATCACATCTTTTGGGATCTGGTGACATCCATCTTGCCACCTGATTACCAGGAACTGGATCTCTCGTGAAAGTCCCTTGACCTTGCTGCTTTTTACAGTAAAACCAATATCCTGATGAATTTGGATGATATTTTTACCTGTCTTGAAAACTTTTTCTGGTGTGTCACGCCACACAATGATGTTGATGTACTGCAGGCATTCTGGAGCTCCACCCTTCTCCAGTGCACTATGGATCACCTCATGCACAGTTGGTCTTGTGTAGTCATCAAAGCACCCCATGAAGGAGAATATATGGGCATGTGCTGCTGGTACAGCCTGAGCAAACCTTTGGAACATTTGCGTGTTGCACAGAACATCATCAAGATGTGTAAGTCCATCTTTATCATAGATCACCTCTCGCACAGCTATTTCTCTCAAGTATGTGATGGCTTTCTCAAGAGTGGATGTTTTGCTTCAGTGCCATTCGATGTCACCCTTGTGGAGGTATCTCTCTCACAGCTGGAAGAAGTTGGTCCCGCAGGGTGGTAGTTCCCATCTTACTATTAAGTACTCTATCAATAGCAGCATCTCTGGCCAGGAATCCCAACTGCTTGGCTTCCCTCTCATCCACATTATAGGTTTCAACTCCTCTATCAAATCATCAGAGCAACCAAGGAAGAATTCCCTCACCATCAGTGCGGGTGAAGTCCTTTCTCATGAGGCGCAGTTCTTTCATAGAGAAAGGCTGGACAAGGTCATTGTTGTCATCTGATTGAGGAGGGCCTGCTGTTTTACCTGCTTGAGAGTGGCCTGATTTTGTATCTGTTTGAGAGGTACCTGCTTCATTAACTGATTTAGAATCCTCTGCTTCCTCAATTTCAGTCTCTGTCATTGCTTGAAGAAACTCTGGATGTCTCAGATTGGAGTAGGCAAAAAGCGGGGCAGGTGGGGTCATAGATCTCCCCGTAGTGTCTGAACCAGCAGAGTAAAGGTGTGACCTTGAAGACCCAGAAGTTATAAAAACATTCCACCATTATCAGCCCAAGCTGGGACACTTTGCTACTAGTTAAAAGAAAGCTTACTGAAGGAAAAAACAAATGAATCAGTAAAAGGAAAAATAGCTTCATCCTGGCTCAAACCAGGACAAATCCATTACCTGCACATCTCTCAGGTTTTTCTTTCAGTTTCTCCCTTAGCCTCAACCCTTTCCCAGGGAAGGGCTGAAAACAAGGCAGCAGCAAAAGGTGGCTTTGAACACCAGCACCTCTCCTAAAGATTGTATTTCATTAAAAGTTGGAAGCATCATTGCAAAACAGTCTTGAAAACATGAACTAAGTGTAATCTGGGCATAGATGTCTGTGTAAGTTTTCATGGAGTCTGAAATAATAGCTCTGAGAGATGTGAGTCTCATCTCAACAGGGTCTTCTCTCATACGCCCTCTGTTCAAAATGTGAACTTTCCCTTTTCTGGCTCCTCCATGCAGGCAAGGTTTAGTCACTGAATCTATCCAATTTAGTCTAGTGACAAGGCACATATTTATTTTGGGAAAGAAACCCTACCTATTTTCTCTCCAATTTCGATGAAGTAAATTTCAAGGGACCTAATGGTCATGTCAGCCAAGACAGACACCAGTCCAAGAAACTAGCTGGAGTTGCACAGCAGATCAGCCTGACAGGCTGCCAGGTTACTCTTCGGTCTGCAAAAGGGGCAAGCACCAGGAGCTTAAGAGAAAACTCAGGGTAAACTTATAGAATATTTAGTGTAATCCAAAATACAGATTTACTGAAATCCTGAAACACAGGCGCTTTTTTTTTTCCACTTTCCGGTACATTTCAAGTGGTGATTTTCCACAAATAAAACATCTCAACATGTGGATAATCATCCAATCTGAATTCAGTCTTGCTAAATTACTGGTAATTTTTCACAGGAAAGAGTTTCAAATACTGCACTTGGGGGGAGAGATGGAGGGTGGGAGGGAGGCGGAGAGACAAAGTTACAGACAAGATTGTGATCACTTTTCTCCCAATGCATGCCTTGTGCACTCAGCTTTTCTGGCTGCTGAAGCCCCTTTGGTTCTGCAGCATCCCTGGGTGCAGGATGCAGCCAGCCTGCCCTGGGCACTGCAGCTGAGCAGCCCTCGGCAGCCTCTGGAGGGTCCCTGCGTTGCTCTCCCCACAGCTGTGGGTGGTACAGGGATGGGCATCGCTCCCCTCTCTCCCGGCCCTTTAGTCCAGCCTGATCCTATCAGAGAAGTTAAAATTAACAGCGGGTGAGTTCAAGCTGCCAACGTCAAGTGCCCCCAGCTATATGAAGTGTGTCGTTATGTGTGAAAGATACAAAGCCTCGAACAATTTCATTTAGTTCAGTGGGAGTTGCCAATGCTGGCTGTTAAAACACAGCCAAGAGTTATTGCAAAATGACGGCTGGGAAAGTAAGTATTTGAAAACCAAGAAAATCCCAAAGCTAAGGTTTCTGCTGCAACATTCGGTCATTTTCACTGCACATCTATATGTTTTATTTTTATTTAATCTATATCCTGTGAGGTGTGTAGGATGTGTAATGAAGCCAAAACGATATTGCTTTGGAAAAGTTATTATTTGTAATTTCCTGACTTTCCAGTATTTGATTTTTCAGCCTCAGTAATGCACTAATGCTGTTTTATGTGTTTAATATATAATTGGCTTGAATTTTTTTCTTCCTTTTAACTGTTGATACGATGATTAGTTTCTAGAGGAAGAGTGAAAAGAGTGATGTTGGCCCATTACTGCAGAATCTATTTTATGCATTTAATTTTTTTTTTTTTTCATTGCAAGACTATTCTGGTGAGGGAAACTTGGTGTAGGTGGGAATTTGGCTGCTCAGTGCCTCTCAGATGAATGAAACTTGGAAGCCTCTCAAGGACGGTGTTATTTTTCCTTCCTTTCCAAACTCACTGGAACCACTCGAGGGTATAAAAGCTTTTTATGTGTGTTTATGGGACGGTTCGTTTACTCCAGCGCCTTCCCCCACTGCATCACCTCTTAAGCAGTTTAGGAGACTGTTTGTTTAGCACTCGATAAAAATAAAAACTAAACAGATTACCGCAGGTTCAATTAACGTGTATGACCTTTTAGTATGAAAACCTCCACTCTCCTCGCTGCACATAAAGAATGTCAGAGGGATGTTAAGAGGTGTAAATTAAACACCCTCTTCCTGACTCATCTGAGTAGCTTGTTTTGCGGCGGGGGAAGGTGTCCGTGAAGTGAAATACG